GAGCTGGGCTGAGAAGTGGCAGATGGAGTTTAACCCTGAAAAGTGTGAAGTGATTCATTTTGGAAGGACAAATTTGAAAGCAGAATACAAGGTTAACAGAAAGATTCTTGGCAGTGTGGAGGAGCAGAGGGATCTTGGGGTTCATGTCCACAGTTCCCTGAAAGCTGCCACCCAGGTGGATAGAGTTGTTAAGAAGGCGTATTGTGTGTTAGCTTTCATTAATAGAGGGATTGAGTTCAAGAGCCATGAAGTTATGCTCCAGCTATACAAAAGCCTGGTCTGGCCACATCTGGAGTATTGTCTCCAGTCCTGGTCAACTCATTACAGGAAAGATGTGGAAGCGTTGGAAAAGGTGCAGAGGAGATTTACCAGGATGTTGCCTGGAATGGAGGGAAGGTCTTAAGAGGAACGGTTGAGAGAGCTAGGGCTTTTCTCTTTAGAACGACAAAGGATGAGAGATGACTTGATAGAGGTGTACAAAATGATCAGAGGTATAGATAGAGTGGACAGCCAGAGACTTTTTCCTAGGGTGGAGGTAGCTATTACGAGGAGGCATAGTTTTAAAGTGAGTGGAGTAGATATGGGGGAGACGTCAGAGGTAGGTTCTTTACTCAGAGAGTGGTGGGGGCGTAGAATGCATTGCCCGAGAGGGTAGTGGAGTCGGCCTCATAGGGGCATTTAAGCGGCTATTAGATAGGCATATGGATGATAGTATAAGGTAGGGCTGGAGGTTAGATAGACCTTAGGTTTAGAGTAAAGGTTCGGCACAACATCGTGGGCCAAAGGGCCTGTACTGTGCTGTACAGTGCTACATTCTATGTTCTAATAAAAGAGATGGATAGTGAAAGACAGAGAATTAGACAGAGGTAAAAGTTCAGAGCGAAACACAGGTTAGATAAAGAGGAACTGCGTATGGAGCCAAAGAGGGGCTGGCAGCCTGAGAGAAGGAATGGAAGAGAAAGAATGAAGGAAAGTACAACAGATGGAGAGAAAATCAGGAATGTGTGTGTGTGAGAGAGAGGTGCTTACTGCAGACATATAGGACACATACTGAAAGGAAAACTGTATATTGGAGGAACAATAAAAGTTATTCCTTGTCTTGTGAGTTTTTTGAGCAGAGTATCAGACTAAACTAACACAGTGTGAATACCGGTTAGAGCAATAAGTTGTGAAGAAAGCCTTTTTTCTATATGTACACCCAAGGCAGGTTGAAGATATTAGACTGATAACCAGTGACAATATCAAGAGAGGAAAACAAAAAAGATGAACTATTCAGTAGGTCAAGGTCAAGCTGCATGCGTGGAAAAAGAAATAGATTTCATATCTCAGGACATTATGTGTATACTTCTTTGAGCTGCTGTTAGACCCGCCCTGTTGTGCCCAGCACCATGCGTTGTAATATCACGATGAGAGGACCAACATATTAGATCTAAGCTCTGCAGTCCTGCCACATCCAGCTGTGAATTATGGTGAACAATTAAACAACTCACTGGAGGAGGCTTCACAAACGTGTTCATTCTGAATGATGGGGGAGCCCCATGCATCAGTGCAAAAGGCTGAAACATTCATCATAATCTTTTACCAGAAGTACCAAGTGGATAATCCATCTTGGCCTCCCCCAGTGGTGCCCAACATCATAGAGGCCAGTCTTCAGCCAATTCGATTCACTCCACGTTGTATCAAGAAACAGCTGAAGATATTGGATGTTGCAAAGGTGATGGCTCCCAGTCACAGTCCTGAAGGTGTGCTGTCCAGAACAACTAAGTGCCTAGTCAAGCTGTTCCAGTATAGCTACAAAACTGGCATCTACCCAGCAATGTAAGAAAATTGCCCAGGTATGTCCTGTTGTTACAACTCACAGGGGTAGTGCACTGGAAATCAAGCCTCGGTATTCTCAGAGTAGTTACAAATGTGAAAAGCTTTAAGTAACTTTTGCGCCACAAAAATACCAGACAATAACCATCACCAATAAGAGACAATCTAACCATCATTCTTGACATTCAATGGTGTTACCATCACTGAATCTCCCACTAACAATATCCTTGGGGTTACTATGGACCAGAAACGCAACTGAATTCACCACATAATCACAGTGGCTACAAGAGCAGCTCAGAAGCTGGGAATACTGCAGTGAGTAACTCATCTCCTGACACCTCAAAGCCTGTCTAGCATCTACAAAGCACAAGTCAGGAATATGTTGGAATACTCCCCATTTGCCTGGATGGATGCAGCTCCAACAACATTCAAGAAGCTTGACACCATCCAGGACAAAGCAGCCCGCTCAATTGGCACCACATCCACAAGCATCCACTCCCTCCACCACCGACACTCAGTAGCAGCAGTGCATACTTATATATAAGATGCACTGCAGAAATTCACCAAAGATCCTTAGACATTGCCTTCCAAACCCATGACCGGATACAAGGGAACACCACCAGCTGCAAGTTTCCCACCAAGCCACTCACCATCTGACTTGGAAATATATCACTGTTCCTTTACTGTTGCTGGGTCAAAATCCTGCAATTCCCTCCCTTAGGGCATTGTGGGTCAACGTATAGCACATGGACTGCAGCAGTTCAAGAAAGCAGATTACTATCACTTTCTTAAGAGCAACTAGGGATGGGGAATAAATGCTGGCCAGCATCAAATCCCACGTCCCACAAGTGAATCATAAAAAATTAGTAAAATTATCCAAAGTCCCCAATTTGCCTGACTGACAAAGTCCGTTGAAAAGAACATTCATCAGGTTTTTGTACTTAACAAGAAAATAGCTTATGAACAAATTATCTTTAACCAGTGGCAACTCGGAAATATGAATTGCTAACTTATAACTCTACAACTTAAACTCTATTCCTGTTTTAAATATCTCCTTCGCAAACATACTGACTCATGAAAATGGACAAGACATTGATATAAAGGGTGGAAAACAAAACGATAACACAAAACACAGTTCAGTAGCACTAGTCTGGTCCACAGGATTTGCTGAATTGTGTGTTCCAATTTCTTCCAATTCCTTTAGCTCTTTGCTGTTGACACAAGGTTGTTTGGACACCAAACATGCTCTTTCATCTACTAGTTGAGAATTTGCCCTTTCAGAGTCTTTAAAGGTGTTTTACTCGTCTTTCATCAGGGAATGTTCAAGGCCAATGGAAGACAGCTAGCTATTACTGGAGACATTTTGGTACCTCCACACAGGGAAGAGACATAGTGAGAGGTATGTTTGATGCTTGTGCTTTGCAAACATGATGTTCTCTGCACTCACCTCGCACAAACCATGGTCACCTGGTCAGGAGCCAACCAAAACATTGTTGTCAAGCAGTTTTTATCATGGTAGTTCCCAGTCTTTGGAACAAAAATCTTTCAATCCAAACAGTTTTGTTGATGCACTGCCCTTGAAATGTAGACACTATTGTTATGTGCACCGACACAGCAAGATCAAAAAAATGTACCTAACTAACTTGTGAAAGAATCTGATTTAGTGATGTTGGCTGAGGGAAAAATGGTACCCTTCTTGCTTGAAATAACATGAGATTGGACGTTTCCCTCCCACCCACCCACCCACCCTGCCCACACACACACACACACACACACACACACACACGGTATCCAGTTTAACTAAATGGTGGTTGGCATATTAATAAAGTTCAGGTCAGTTGTGATCTTATTGAATGGCAGAGCAGACTTAAGGGGCCAACTTGTGCTTCTGTGGCTAATGACAGCTAACACTTCTCCCAATGTTACATTGCTGTAAGGGAACTGCCACAGTCATGGCTAGGATCTCCCCACCCTAACCTTTTAAGCCAGGGTTAGTGGGATCATGCCTCCCTGTAAACTCCAGTCCAGTGTATGAGGTGAGATTGCTAAACATCCCATCGACATCTGTTAGGTAGTGTCCTCTCCTCTCCTGAAAGGCAGGGCCCTCTAAGGTGCAGTTAATTATCCTATTCACCAGGTTTCCATGTATAGAGTTGCCTGGTCATCTGAAGTGAATTTCTGAACAGCTGCTCTGATTGGTTGGGAAGGTATGAAGGGGTTACAACGTAAGTAGCATTACCCTTTGTGCAGCAAGCGAGCATATAGTGCCTCCGTTCCTTATCACCCTCTGGCTGTTTTTGTGACATTTGTGGTATGACGGAGTAAAATCTCATTTTGTGACTGGATAAGAACCATATTTAGCAGAACAAGATAGCTGGATGAGGACAATAGACAGTAAAAAGATATTTAATCACTGCCCTTTTAGAATGGTATTCAAATCTCTGTCAATTAAAGTTGCCTTCTGTAAATACTGCAACATGTCAGGCTCATAAATTCGGGAATGTTCAGGCATTGCACCAAGTGTTAGCTCCAACTTCCTCCACACAAGACCCTCCATTCCCATACCATAACCCTGAAGCAGGCCATTCAGCCCATTGAGTCCATGCCACCCCTCCAAATAACATCACAACTAAACCCATCCCCCACCCTATGCCTGTAAACCCTCATTTCCCATGGCCAATCCACCTAATCTGCACAGTTCTTTGTCGGAAACAAAACTCTAGCTTTGCATTAGTATCTTGAACATTCCAAGCACACACTTCACATTCTGTTCTCATGATTTAATTTGATGTCCATATTTATAATAGGACCTGCTCAAATGTGGATGCTGAACATTTTTTAGGCTTCTTGAAAAATTGTAGTTTCTCATGCTTTCCATAATGACACAAATTCCTTATGTCTTAAAGACAAGAATCATTTTGAAAATCAGCCAAATGACATATATCATAAGGTATACTTGATGAGAGTTTAAGGTTTGGAAGATTTTTGGGACAATCCTTTGGTTTTGGAGTTTCTGAGGTGGACCTCTGCTACCACCCAGTGGTTCCTGCTGGTACTGTTCATGCTCCAAATTTACTTTCATTGTCACGTACAACCGAAATACAGTGAAAAGCTTTGTTTATGAGCGATACAGGCAGATCAAAGCAAGCAAAGGATGTACGAATCAAAAAGACTTAGAGGCTTACAGGTTACATTATTTGAGGCTAGAGTCCATTCATCAGTCTGATAACGGCAGAAAGAAGCTGTTCCCGAACCTGCTGGTGCGTGTGTGCAGGCTTCTGTACCTTCTGCCTGATGGAAGAGGTTGTACGAGGTCATTACCGGGGTACGATGGGTCTTTGATGATGTTGGCTGCCTTTCCATGGCAGTGAGCCGTGTAAGTGGAGTCCATGGATGGAACGTTGGCTTCTGTGATGGTCTGGGCTGTGCACACCACCTTCTGCAGTTTCTTTCGGTCCTGGGCAGAGCAGTTGCCATATCAGGCCATATGCACCCAGGCAGTATGCTTTCAATGGTGCATCTGTAGAAGTTGGTGAGGGACCTTATGGACATGCCAAATTTCCTAAGCTGCCTGAGGAAGAAGGGGCGTTGTTGTGCCTTCTTAACCGTCGCATCTACGTGGGAAGTCCAGGACAGGTTGTTGTTTATTGTTACTCTGAGGAACTCGATACTCTGCACTCTCTCAACCTCATTTCCGTTGATATAGGTGGTGGTGTGTTCTCCTCCTTTCTTTCTGAAGTCGCTGATCAGTTCTTTAGTTTTGCTGAAATTGAGAGGCAGATTGTTTTCATTGCATCACTCTAAACTTACTGGAAGTGGGTTGGATCACTGAGAGAAACTGTTAAATAATTGGTTGAACACAGAAAAGCAACTGTACTCTCCACCAGAGCTTTAAGAAAACTTTTGTGATTTCTGAAGTGTTTCTTCTTCTTGCCAATTCAGAATTAACAAGCAGAATGGACACTGCAGGATGAATACAGGGGTATGGGAAGAGAGCAGGATAATGGGATTTTTTTGCAATTAGTATGGGGCAACAGGGAGAATAGAGAGCAATGGGAGTAGTTTGGGATTAATACAGTGGAGACAGTATTTGTTCTGTGTAAAGACCTTTTCATATTTCTGTATTTTATGATGCTGGACCAAAATGGGAAAATGGTTTGTTTTCAAAACTAAGTACGTTAAAAGGTTTACTGCACCTTTTAGATGTGTCACCTGACACTCATTGTGATTATTGTTTACATGGCTGCTTGAACAGTGGGGGAGGTTACGATAAATGAGCTGGAGCCCAGGGTGTATATGATTGGAGAATTGGTCAGCAACTAATTGTTGATTGGTCTGTGGATCAATCACTGAGGTTTTCTACTTGCCAACAACTATGTGATTAGCTCCCAGCTACCTAAACAGTTTGTGAGTGTGAACAGTACGGCTAACAGCCTAAAGGGCTCTTGTGGTACAATAGTCTTGCCCTTACCCCTGAGCCAAAAGGCCTCCGGTCAAGTCCCACCAACTTCAGAGGTGTGTAAAAGCATCTCTGAACAGGTTGATTAGGAAATACCTATAATCAGAAGCCTTCAGGCCTCCAAAATGGAAGGAGCAGACATTCTCTCTGCAGTGAAAAAGCCAGTTTATTTCCCCTAATCATCTACTGCAAATTGTTGTTTTTAACCAATAAGTCAGATTCTTTATAAGTAAATCCTGTAGCACCTGCAAACAAGGGAAAGTAATTAGAGAAGGAAGAGAGGAGCATACAGTCCTGACAAGCCAAAATGATCATCTCAGCAAAGTGTGGACTTGGAACATTGAACTGCCTTCCTACTCTTTCCTTCTGCTTTTAACACCCATTTTTTATGCAAGTATGTGTGCATAAAGGGGAGTTTTATGAGATGTTAGAACTTTAACTAGTGGAGTTGTGCATCAGTGGTTCATAATTGTTTACCTATAATTAGAGTTATAATTTAAATACAGAAACCTGGTTCATGCTTTCTGTCAACCTGAATCTAAAAGACAGGTAAGTTAGGGAATTCTGTATGTTTTTAATGAAATTTAATTTTTGTGATGACACTGGGAATAGAGGGTTTTGATTTCCAGTGCACTACCCCCGTGAACTGTAACATCTAGATTGTACTGCTAAAAAGCTGGCAGAGACTAGATGGGGTGAATAATCTCCTGTGTTGTAAACACCAGCAAGTCCATGAAAGACAATAATTACAACAAACCTTTATGGACCTCTTTTTGTGCTTTTTATTTGTTGATGTTTCCTTGTGGTTCTCTTGTTAACTGAAATTCCTTAGGTCTTCAATAAGCGTGATTCTAAAAATCAGTAAATGACACATTCCACAGTGTACATATTGGGAGGGCTTGTGTTTGGACATTTAATGGGGTGTTATTTTATTGATGGAAACTTTTTTTAACACTGACAGATAGAGAGGGACCTGAGCCTCAGCCACATTGAGATATAAGTTTGGACGTCAGCATATCACGCAAATATACAAATGTTACAATCAGTAATTTCAAGTGATTTTTAATAGTTTTTCAAACATGTTTCTGTAAGATGTACTGCTACAATTTACAAGAGATCCATTTGATGAATATGGAAAGTTGAAAGTGCTCAGTTTCCTTTATGAAACCATTCTAGAGAATCCTGCATTCTGTGGGCACCTTGGACTGAAAATCAGACAGAGAAATGTTCAGCTTAGTCCAACATTGACTGCTGCTGACCCATAACCTTTATCTTGCCCAGATTTTTTCTGGAAGATTCTTTTGTTACTCTGTGACAATTGTGTGAAGTTTCACAAATTCTGGGACTGAATTTACTGCTGTTGCAGTGAGCTTAGACCCAGTGCAGAGGCACAGACCTGATGCAGTGAATCGGAGTTTTGCTGGAGTCAGCTGTTTCTCCATTTGAACAATAGTATGAGAGCCAAACAGGTTCGGGTCCATACACTGTTATACACCTCACCCTCACCACAGGCTGTCTGATTGGGACTAGCTGAGCTAAATACACCCATAGGATGTTGCATTTCAGAAACATTGGAGACTCCACCATCCTGTTTACTACTGTGCTGGGATATGCTGAGATTGGTGTGAGTACATTACTGCACAGGTCCAACAAGAAGTTAAGTTTCTTGTTTGCAGTTTCCAATATTCTTAAATTCTCGACACACGATTCAGAGAAAAAACAATGTGACCAATCAAGTTTAGAATAGCTCAGAGTCTACGAATGGGTGAGAGGTGCAAACGAGTATATGGGAAATGGGCAAGGGTGTGGATAAAGGAATAGGAAGAGGAAGATGGGAATGGGTGAGAGGGGAATGATGAGCTGGTGATGAGCAAAGGCAAGTGTTGGACAAGAGGAGATGAATGAAGGAGGGTAGGCACAGTGGAAGGTGTGTGAAGGGGATTCAGCAAGTAGGGAATGGGTGAGGGGTGATTGTGAGTATTTTGCTCACAAGTGCAGGAATAGACAAGATGAGGTGAAGCTGAAAATCAGTTTAATGGGATATCTGCACAGGGAAAGATGGTTGTATTTTGCATTGCTGCTGCCTTCTAGATTTGTTAATAATATCTCACATTCAGAGGCATAATTTAGACTTGAGTCTGGTCTGTTTTTGCCTGATTCAATCTCTTATTTGTTACCAATCCTCCATCACGGTAAATGTATGAGTGAGTATTTGATGCAGACACATTTAAAATAGTTATTTTTTGCCCAGCCCCTTACTTGAAGAACAACACTGGCTGAGTATAGGTGACAGTTTCCAAGGGCATTACAGCATATCACATTATAATACAAAGGATTTACCATTTCTTCTCCTCAGTGCTATCCTTCAGTCTCCATATCATAACTGCTTTAGAGAATCATTTACAAACATTACATTATGTACAAACCAGAACCAAAAAAATAAAATCATGAACAATAAAAACTAAAAAAGAAAACTGTACAAGAACTACAGACCTGTGCCTGATCCTGGCTGGTTGGTGAAGACTGTTCAGAATGGCCACAGTATCCCCAGCTGGTGTTTCTGGTGCTTGCCTGTTTAGCTGAGGAGGGGACAGTCAGTTTGCATGAGCTGTCCCAATTATTTGGAACTTCATGATGACAATTCCTTTGTGGATAAGTCTGAGTTTGTTGCAGGATTTAATGCTTTAATAATAGGCTTTGGAGTGACAGAGCTATTCCAACTCGCAGATCATATATGACATCAGTGCTCTAAAGATTAAGGGTGATGTTATGTGAATGCACAAAGGAAGCTGTTTAACCCTTAGCTGACCTGACTTTGAGCACTATTGTAATGAGAGGTTTTGGTCGAGGAAATTAGCAGGAATCTGTTTCCAGTGGGCATGAGACACTAGGGCACAGATTAAACACAAAAGAACGAGTGGAGATAAGACTTTGTTTTTACACACAGTGAGTTATTCTGATCTGGAATGTGCTAGCCAACAAGGCAGTGGGTGCAGATTTTAAAATAACTTCAAAAGGGAATTAGGTAAATTTTTGAAAAACTAAGGGCAAAGAGCAGGTGAGTGGGACCAATTGGATAGCTCTTTCAAAGAGACAGCACAGGCTGGATGGGTTGAGTACTGTATGATTCAAAGTGATTGTTATGGGGAGAGTGTGTGCTATGTCATGCTGTTTGTGTTGGTTCTGGAACTCAAGACAACATCAATTTCCATGAACTGTATCTTGATTGAATGCAGCATTTACAGTGGAGGGAACAGCTGTGTATTGGCAATTCTGGCAGACTCCAATAGCTTGGCTCTTGGCACAGGAGGGAATCCCTATGGCATCACACCAATCTCATCTCCGGGATTGAGAGCGGGCGGTAGAGAGTTCTCTTATGAGCGCAAACTGAGTTTAAGGCAAAAAAATCAAACTTATACTGACCTTGTACAGCAAACCAGGAGAGCACAGTTTCATGTCCTGCCTTTAAAGCAATCTTGGGGATAATTGAAGAAACAAATAAATGAAAATTGTGGTTTAGAATAGAATCCCATTGGAATCCCCTCATGATTTTGGGACAGCGAAATAATCATTCGGAATTCAGGATTTACTTTGCACCTCAACAGTAATCAGTGTGTGTGTGTGTGTATGTGTGTGTGTGAGAGAGTCAGTGAGTGTGTGTACGTAGGTGGGTGAATGTGAGAGTGAGTGAATGTGTGTGCATGCGTACGCATATCTGTGTACGTGTATCAGATGAAGACTCTACTGGATTTGGCTGTAATTTTCCCACGGTCACATTTCCTCCAAAATCTACGAGGAATGGATTGGCAGGTGCTGGAAATACGGTGAAGACTGATTTCAGTGGGATTCAGAGCCTCTGAAAGAGGACAAGAATAAAGAAGACAGGAGACACATTTAAGGCGGTCCTAGCTTTAAGCTGGGACCAAACCTCACCTTGGTCCTCTCAAAGCCATTCACAGACATGAAAGTGCAGTGCCCTCCTGGCACATGGGAACAGTAAACCTCAAACTGAGGAAACATTCCCATTCTTAGCCAGCGCAGCTACTTGTGCGCACCACAGAATCTCTACAACATAAATTATTTTAAAAAGTCCCAAAGATATTGCCATATTGTGCAAAAGAACATTAGAGGAAGACTTCAAAAATTGAGGAGCAGAGTTTAGTGTTTGAAACCGGTTTCACATCATATCCACCGGCTTATGTTCCATTGATCTGGCTCTTTCTAGAACCTTGCGGAATAACTTATAAGAAACAGTACGTAAAATATAACATTAAAAATAAAACAAATCATTGCTTGACTTAACTACAAAGACACAGTTTGTAGATAATTCCAGAAAAGGCACGCAGTTCCCAGACCCTGTCACACTCAGAGAAACAGACTCCTTGTCATGGAAACAATGTGGAGGAGAGGGAGCTTAGGTGGGTCCACTTGGTTCTTGTTGAAAGTCTCTCGTTTGCCCGGGTTGTTACTGTTTCTTTCACTGCAATTGGAGGGGGAGATTGAGGTACACACTATTTCAAAGTGACTTCCTCTCACCCCATTAAAAGGTTCAAACCAAACAAAGAATGGCTTTGACCTCCTGCCCCCTTTCCATACTGAGTTTGCTCAGTTTTCGGGCACTCTGATGTTGGAATCCACCCACAGACCTGGATTCCAATCACAGTTGATATGTATGTCTCCAAAAATAGACAAATTTCATCTGTTTCGCACAAGAGCTATTCTCCCTCTTTTATGACTCTACAGAAGATGTGTCCTCAGCTGTGGTGCCTAACTGTCCCTCCTTGGTGCTGCTGTCTTCCTGTGCCTTAGCTATGCATGACATAGTCTCTTCTGAGCTGTGGCAGCTTGTCTCCTCCTCTCCTGTGCTGTTTCTCTCCTTGTCTGATCGATCAGATTCATCTTCTTCCTCCAGTGTCAGTTCGAACTGAAACTTGTCAATGCAAACCTCTTCACCCTGGCTTGGATCGTCCAGTGGTGGCGAGGGGCTCTGTGGGATCATACTCTGATACCAGTACCTGTTGTCCTCCAGCGTGTCCAGGATATCCTGGGCATCAGGGTGCACAAGGTCACCCCATGTCTCCCACAGTGGGTGCACTATGTAGTCAATGAATCCTACCTATAAAACACAGAGAATGGCATTAGAAACAATAAACCTTATTCCATTCCCCCCATCACTTACCTTCCTGAGCCTCTACCCCATTACCTTGCCCTCTCTGTGCTCTCCTTGCTTTGGACATAGTTATTCAGGTCCAAGACTCCTGGGAGGAGCAGGTCCCCCTGTCTGTCCCATATTGTCGTCCTCTCAAGATAGGAAACCTGGATCAGGGATCATTTGCAATCAGACTGACACAGAGCCAGCTTGATATTAGACTGTAAAGTGCACTACAGCCCGTGCTTATACTCAAATACTGCTTGATAAAGGAAGGAGGAGAACAGGAGCCTCCAATAACCCAGGAGTGTTGAGGCTAAATGAAATGTTCAGTCATAACTGCATCCTGAGCAAGGTTATCCTCTCCCTTGTATTGGTAAATACCTGTGTCTTTTCCACTGAGGCTGTATGTTTGTCACACATTGGGCTAATCTCCATCCCTCGCTCTCGTTCCTTGTCTCCCTGTCGAAAAAACTCCTCCAGGATACGATCTGTCCATTGTCGGTACAACTCCAGCGGTTTGGTAGGGTTACTCAGGTCAGCACAGTGAACCATATTCCTCATCACCTAGCAACACAAACATACCAACTCTGAGTAACCACGGAAACCACATTTAGGGCAAGTCGTGGCAGCTCAATTCTGGTTATCAGGGAGTCCTGGTTCCTATTCCTTTTAGAAATATGCAGCATGTGTGACAGGAGCACGCAGGGTGCACTCCCTGACCCGGGGCACACTATCTATACTTCCCAACAAGGGCCAATGTCCTCAAACATATTCAGTACCTGGATCCTATCAGTGTAGTTGTCAAGCAGGAGGACTCCTGAGCTGGTCACTTTCTTTGTCTCCACCATAGTTTTCAGGTCTGCTAGGAGACTCATGTGTTTGGACATGTCTGTTGCTAGAACCTGTGGATAGAACCACAAGAGAATAGATGAGACAGAGAGATTAATTTCCACAGTGCACTCTCCAGCCAAGCAGGTACTTAGTGTACCTGCTGTTGGAATATAGACAGAAGTGGCAGCCACTTTGTGCACAAATAGCATGTGATAATGACCAGATAATTGGCTTCAGCGGACGCAGTCAGACTTCCACAACATTGAGAGCGTTGGTCATCATTATAGGCTCTGAAGTCTGACCCTGACTCTGCTGCCCATGAACCAAGGAAGGAAAACGGGAAGCAGAGGCGTACTCACCATATCAATGACCATCTTCCGCAGACTCTGCCGCTGTCGTTTGGGGAGATTCTGGAAGATGTCGCAGTTTTCCTCCTGGAGGAGTTTGAAGCCCACAGCGAGGTGATGGTTCTCCAGGACAGACTCATCATTGTACATTAGTGCTAGCTCAGAATCTAGGAGACAGTAACAAGATGGTCAGTGTGTTGGGCAACATCAGCCCAAGGGCAGAGATCCTAAATCTCACACAGAATCTGTCAGAAACAGACAGCACCCAGTCCAGAGAGGCTCGAAACCTTGCAGAATGCTACAGCCCTGGAGAAGCTTGACCAACATTAAGAGCTGGGCTGATGTCCTTTACTGCCTCTCAATGATCCATATGACATTGAATACTGTCGCCAAGGAGCCTTGAGTTGACAACCCCTCCCCCCACCCCATGTAGTGCTGGGTTTGTGATCATTGTGGGTTTTACAATAGGCCACAACCTGGAGTATGGCAGGTTAGTGAATCCAGCAGGACTGCTGCTGTCGCTGGATACTAGGTGACAAATTTAGCTATGAAGCTGCTGTAAAGACCACTTGTTTATATTTTTCTTTATTTTTGATTTGTGGTCCCATATGGAAAATGATACTGCTTCAAACCAAGGAAACTGGAAGGAGATGTTGCAGTTTTAAAACCAGTTACTGGAGCTTATTGTTAACTGTATTTACTGCCTTGGGTAAGCAGTCAGGGGAGATTGCCAGAACCATCAGCACCATGGGTGGGTGGGTGGGTGGGTGTTCAGGGCAGTTTCACCAAGGGATCGCCTGTTGATCAGTTTCTCAATCAGGACCAGTTGCTTGGGTTAGGAATGCTCAGCTGAACAGCTCTGTGATTGGCTCCTGGCAGGTAGGCAGCCTGTGTATGTATGGATACTACAGAGACAGGAAGCCTCCAGGCTGTTAAAAAGGCACCATTCACTCTCCTCTTGCCAGACATTAATAACAAATCGGAAGAGAGCTAGCTTTTCTCTCTCACCATTCCCCATAAAATGCTGCCTCTTAACCAGTGACTGAGAGACTGAACAATCATATGACAACTGCTCAGAATGCCCCATTCCCAGAACTTTCCAACAAACACCAAGATGTAATTGGGTGGTAGCGAGAAAGGTTTTGTCACATCCTTCATCTAAGCCCAACTCTCTCTGCCATTGCATGCTGTCCTCAAAGTGGATGCGGAGGGCAAGAAATTTCTTCCGGAATGTGCTTTTTCAAAAATGGTCTGGAGAGAGATGGAATGGATTTTGTCAAGGTATGTCCCCTGCAGCTCCATGATCCCGGACTCTGTGCTCTATGGTCTGTTCCCCGGGATGCACATCGAGACAAACATGGACTGCGCCTGGAGGACCATCAACTCGGTGAAAGATGCTCTTTGGTCTGCCTGAAACTTGTTGGTCTTCCTGTGTAAAGAGCTGACCTCGACTAAGTGTTGCAGACTGGCACATTCCAAGGTCCAGGACTACGTACTTAGGGACACACTAAAGCTTAGGCCAGCTACCACCAAGGTGCAGTGGGGAAAGACTACCTACCATTTGAGGTCTTTCTGCCAGAACACAACAAGGGTCTGTTAAGTTTCAAGATACATTCTCATTAAGGCTATGGGGGTAATTGTTTTTTCATTTGTGGAGAGTGAGCATCACTGGCTGAGCCAGCATTTATTGTCTGTCCCTAGTTGCCCTTGAGAAGGTGGTGGTGAACTGCCTTCTTGAACCACTGCAGTCCTCCTGCTGTAGGTTGACTCACAATGCCCTTAGGGAGACAATTCCAGGATTTCATTTCATGATTAGAAAATGCCGTTTTGTTGTAAATGGATTGAAGCTCGAATGTGGAATTAGAAATTTCACTCTAATTTCTACAAAAAGTCTTCATGGACCTTTGTACTTGAATGTAATTTATGAACAAAGTACAGCTTTGTTTAAAAAAAACCTGCCCTGTCGCTGAAGTAAAGAACTGAAAGGACTTGGAAAGAAGGTGATTAGAGATCAGAAGGTCTTGGAAGCAAAAGGGACACCTCATTGAATCCATGGACAAGTGCTATTGAACTGTCTTGAAGTATTTTAGTAATATTTATTTCTCCACAAATAACATCTGTTTGTGTTTGTCTTTGTCTGTCTGCATGCCTGTATAGGGGTTTAAGAAGGGGTAAAGTTTAAGTTACACAGTTAGAAGTTGGAAACTTTATTTTATTTCCCTGTGGTTAGAACTGATTTATTAGTAACGAACAGTAGTTTCTTGTTCAGCTACAGAAACCTGTTTGATGTATTCTATTAACTGGTGTTTGTCAGGCAGCAGGCAGGAAATTTGGGGATTTTGAGCAACTTGATTAAATCTTCAACTTTTGTGAGGACCATGAGAATAATGGGGCTTGAAAATCAACACAGTTTCCTAAATGGGTTGTGTGACAGCCAACAATTGAATAACTAGCTTTCACTCTCCTGTCTGACGCATGAGGAGGTCACTACAATGATTCGTGTGCAATAAATCTGGTTCCTATCAGTCCCTGTCATCTCCAACAATAGTCGGGCCTTGCTGAGAGAATGGAATAACTGTTTCAAACCAAGGTACTCATTGTGCCAGCTCTCAGCTCCATAAATAAATAAAAACCAAATGGTGTAAACAGTCTGCTGGAGATCAGCCTCCACTCCAAAAGCAAGTAAAGGCTATCATGTTACTGGATTAGTAATCCAGAGATCTGGGTCATCAGTCCAGAGATTCTGAGTTTAAACCACACAGCCTGAAAAGTTTAATTCAGTTAAAAAGATATGGAAGTCAAAAGCTGGTATTGATAACTGTGATCTGCATAAAGCTATTATATTGTAACACAGACACAACATGGTGCATTAATGTCCTTTAGAGAAGGAAGCTCACTGTTCTGAACACAATCTGTTTCAGTTTTACACCATGCCCTCTGAAAAGGCCTAGTGAGCGATTCATTTACAACAAACCATGATTGGTTTAAAGAGATGGCCATTTTTGGACATTCTCAGGGAGTGTCAGGATGGACTATAACTGTCAGCTTGGTCAGTGATGGCTACATTTCAAGAATGAAGAAGAATGTATGTATTCAAACTGGGTTTGATACTCACTGGTGTTGATGAGGAACTGATTGGAAACTCCTGGGTGATCCACATCATGAATCGCAGCAGCAAACAATGCAGCAAGTGTCTCTAGATCGGTAAAGACGGCCTGAAATAAAAGGTGAAGTCAGAGAACGGTGGTGAACATGTTCCTATATCATCCAGCCGCAATCAAACTGGAGCCCAAACAAAAAGAGAAACTCCCTCCTCAGTCAATGGGTCTCAACTGAGCAAAGTCAGCAAACAGTCTGAATGATGGTCTGACCTGAAGCCGAGGTTTACAGGCTGCAGGTGGGTTGTAGCAAGAATTACACCTTCCCTGGAACTAGTATCTAATGTGTTGTTTCCCAACTACCCTCAAAGCAATACACTGAACAAAACTGAGGGTGAAATGTACTCACGTCAAGGGCCGGGGTAGACAGCAGTACGTGTGTGGACTGAGTGACATCAGCTGCATGCAAGCTGTTGTGGTATGCAACATCAGCATGGTAATGATCCTCCAGTGTCATTATGTATGTGAGGAAAGTGTCAACTGGAATCCTGAAGGTCTTCATCAAGTCTCTCTCCTGAAATAAACATTGTGAGTGACCATTACCCTGAATAAACTGTGATTCAAATAATTGCTGGTCTTGCATATTGCAAGAGAGATATGGTTTTGTCTTTTGCTCATCAGTACAGAATTGCAAGAATACCAAATCTAAAAGGGAGCAATAATTTATACTGCACAAAAAGAAGGTGCAGACTAGTTGGTAAATCAGGACTCTGACATAGGTGATGCTATGAAGGCGGCACCAGGAACACTGGATGTGCTAGAAGCTGCATACACTGATGTGCAGGGCCCTGTTCTTTGCAAATAGTAAGAATGTGTACATACATGTAAACTTTTCAACGAACCAAAGCCTGTGGCTTTTGGTAGCCCTGTACAGAGGGGATGACCTGACTCAGTCTGTTAGGTAAGTTCAACTCCTACCTGGAATATAGCATACATGATGCAGCTGAGCGGCCTGTTGTTCGAGAACTCGGAAACTCGGAAAATATTAAGGCCCCATATGTTCAAATCATCCAATTCCTAGAAGGACAGGACATCTTTAGAAACATTGCATGAAATGACAGGCATGTTGGAACACCATTGTTGATTCTTTCAAGACATTTAATGGTATTCTTAACCTTTTGAGCCTTTATTCCTCCTCAAGGAGCAGACTCTCCCTGGGGTACAGTTAACCCCCCCCCCCCGATGCTCTCTCCTCCCCCTTGGGTCCGGCTCCCCCTCCCTGTCGGTACTGCCTCTCCCCGGGGTACAGTTCCCACCCCTCCTGAAGGTACTGACTCTCCCCGGGGTACAGTTTCCTCCTTCTGAAGGTACTGACTCTCCCTGGGGTACAGTTTCCCCACCCCCCTTCCTGAAGGTACTGACTCTCCCCAGGATACAGTTCCCCTTCCTGAAGGTGCTGACTCTCCCTGGGGTACAGTTTCCCCCCGCCTGAAGGTACTGACTCTCCCCGGGGTACACTACCCCCACTCCCGAAGGCACTGACTCTCCCCGGGGTACAGTTTACCCCCTCCTGAAGGTGCTGACTCTCCCTGGGGTACAGTTTCCTCACCAGCAGTACAGTTCAATGGTTCTGAACAGTGTGAATGCTCATCCTCCAGAAGTGACTGGACATTTGGGCATGTGTTCAACCCTATGCTCCCGTGGTATCTTCTCACGCCCATATATTTGAAGGAGAAGTCATTGAACAATGCTTTAATCTGGGGAACTGAGGTCAGCTGCACTTGTGCCCTGGTTGAGATCAGCTAAAAGAACAGGCAGGGGGTGGGGGTGTGGTTGTAGAGAGAAGCGGAAGTTGGAAGCTTCTGCTCCATAAAGTGCTACCACAGAGTCAGCTTGACAATTCCCTGGGGTTTTCACAGAATTTGCACATCAAACCTGGAGCACTTGGCAGACTAGGCTGCATGCAAGCTGGCTCCTTGTTGGCTGGTATTTGTGCTCTGGGGACCAACAGCCCAATGTTACCTTGGTTAGTGCTTCTTCCTGATGAGTCTTTACTCCAAACCTGGGGATGCTCGAGTTACTGAGGTTGAGGCTTGAGCTGTGGGTAAGTTTCTTCACCCCACTGATCTGACACATGGGCTGTTTCTTCTTCTTGTCTCGTTCTTTCTGTGTGGGAGGTGGGATCTCTACTTCATTCTGCTTGTCTGAAAGAAAGTGGCACATGGGAGATAAAATTCAGTGCTGAGATTTATGATGTGATACATTCTGGCAGAAAGAATGAAGAGAGGCAATCTACATGCGCACAAATACCCAAATACAAGGGCACCCACATAAATACAGTCACAAACATACAGGGGAAGCTATAAATACTCAGACACAGATATACAAGGTCACACAAAAATATAGACAAACAAATATATTGATGCAATCAAAGACATTAACAGGTGCCCCATGAAAACATACAGATAGAGAAACATAGAATAGGGTCAGAATCTGCTCTTGTCCAGCCATCCCTTGAGCAAACTGAAAACTGTAACAAATCTGCTTTTTAGGAAACTACATCCGTTTCTGTCTATTTCTAACACTCTCTGTCCCTGGCCCTCATTCTCTCATTCCTATCTGAGTTTCTCTTCCTAAGCTCATCTCCCCCTTGCTCTCTCTCTCCACCACCACGCCCCCCACACTGCCGTTGTCTTTTCATCTCCCTGAGGTGTTATCTTTCTGTGTGTCTCCCTGGGGTGGTCCCTCCCTGTCCCCCTGTCTCCCTGGTTGCCCCTCTCAATGGGGTCTTTCTCTGGGCTGTTTTCTCACTTACCGAGGAAGGTACTGGATATGTACTCAGAGACTTGGTTCCCTGAGCGGCTCATTTCGGAGAGGTGAGTCAGTTCACGATTCAGCATCCTCTTGAACTGTTACAGAGACCGAGAGAGAGGTGTGAATATAACCCCAGACAGCTCAGAACCTCTTTAAGCCCCAGGCACCCCCAATATCAAACACTAGAACGTTTTGAGGCAGTGTTTGCTGCCACCACAACTACAGGGATTGCCCTTACCACCCGGCCTGTCACAGTGACCGATATCAGAGACGCTGCCATTAGCTTCCTGCTTCAAAGAATATGACCACCCAAAACATCAAATGATGCAAAGTATTTTAACAAGCACAGCATCAAGAAAATGTGTTTTTGCAAATGATTCATACCAATTCAAATCAATTCCACTCAGATCCTGGGATTACGATTTTCTCACTGCCCCACTCGATTGCCCCACTTACCTCCATCCAGCAGTGAGGGGACAGGAGGGCGCTGGTCAGAGAGACAGTGAGCACGTTTAGCTGTACGTTCCTCGGGTACGAAGTGTCGATGTCAGAGGTACTGTCTATGTGTCAATAGGCAAAGTGGAAGCAGACTGCTGGTTCCAGGCAGACAGTGATAACATTAATGGCACTTATTTTTCTGTCTCAGTGGGGTGGCAGGAGATTCTCTGTTTCTTTATCTATTCTGGGCATGTGGGCATCATTGGCTAGATCAGTGTTTATTACCCATCCTTTATTTCCCTGGAGAATGTGTTGATATGTTCGTTCTTGAACCATTGCAGTTCGTGTGGTGCCGGGACACGCACAAAGCTGTTAGGGAGCGAGTTTAGGATTTTGACGCAATAACACTGAAGGAACAGAGATATATTTCCAAATCAGGATGGTGAATGACTTGGAAGGGAACTTGTGGGGCGTAGTGTTCCCATGTATCTGCTGCCCTTGTCCTTCTAGATTTGCAAGGTGCTGTGTGAGAAGCCTTGTTGAGTTGCTGCAGTGCAACTCATAGATGGTGCTGACAGTTATGAAATGGCTAGTAATCCAAAGATGCAATGAATCTGGTGTCTATAGGGCACAGAGACACATAAGCACACAGGATGTGAATGGTTTAACTGAGTACATTTCACGAGTTTGAATTCAGCAGGGAACTTTCATGAAGTTTCCAGTCTCTAAATCCCCACTTCTCACTTTCCTTGTCACGTCTGGAATAAAAATTTTATCTTTCTGAAAAGTACGTTGATTTTATTTGTCTTGAAAGAAAGGCTTACATTCATATTGCCTTTTTCACTCTCAAGGTATCCAGAGTACCTTTGAAGTTACTGTTGTGATGTGTGATAAGACTCTAGCCAAATTAATAAGAGTGATACAATCATGATATACTGTTCAATGAGAAAGAAATATTTACACCAAGACCATTGAGATAAAAAACAACTGCTCTTCTTCGAATGGAGCTGGTGTGTCTACAAAGCTCCACTGGGAACTTAGCATTGGGCCTTCGATTTCCGTCACACATCTCAGCGCTGTCCCTCCGACAGTGCGGCACACCCTCAGCACTGACCCTTCAACACAGGGGTGCTCCCTCAGTATTCCAACTCAGTGCAGTGTCAGCTCGGATATCTTTTATCTTCTTTATTTCACCAAAAGAATTTTTGGACCTAGTTCTATCCCTGTTCTGAATGTGTTAACCTGTCTTCCAACTTCCTTTGCTGAAGGAATCGACAAGAGAATCAGTACTGATTACTGGCCCATAGCTTCATGTAACTCCTGAACAGTGGGAAAAGAGACAGTTTGGCCTGTAAGCTTACTTTGGGCAATTTTGATCTCAAGACAGTGTCTGCGTGTAGTCAAAGATGCTGAAGACTGATTTCCAGAGCTCAAATCAAAGACAGTTCAGGTGGAGGATAAGACTGGCAATTCACCCAGTGTCTGAAAACACTCACTGCTCAAACACCCTCACTTTCAGGTTGTTGACGTGTTCGCTGAGCTGCCTTGTTTCTATTCAGATGTTTCGTCACCATGCTAGGTAACATCATCAGTGGAGCCTCCGATGAAGCGATGTTATTCTACTCTGCTTGGAATTTATACTGTCCGGTCCGTTATGGTGAGTACTGTCATTTCCGGTTTTGATCTGTATGGGTTTAAATATGGGGTCCAATTCTATACGTTTTTTTGATTGCATTACAGGTGGAGAACATGCCTGTAGGAATTCTCATGCATGTCTATGTTTGGCTACTATGGTTATCTTGTCCAGTTAAACTGATGGCCCTCATTGTCTGAATGTACTGATATTAAGGAGAGTTTGTTGTGCCGTTTTGCTGCTAGCTGATGTTCATTTATTCTGATGGCTAGTTTCCTTCCTGTTTGTCCGATGCAATGTTTGTGGCAGTCGTTGCATGGTATTTTGTAAACCACATTGGTTCTGCATGTTGTGGGAATGGGGTCTTTAATCCTTGTGAGTGTTTGTCGTAGAGTGGATGTGGGCTTGTGGGTCACCATGATTCCTAGTGGTCTTAGGAGTCTTGTTGTAAGTTCCGATATGTTCTTGGTGCAGGGCAGTGTGGCCAGTGTGTTAGGTCATACTGTGTCCTCCAACAACGCCAGGAAGGAAATTAGCCATCAGAATACATGAACATCAGCTAGTAGCAAAACGGCACGAATGTACTCTCCTTAATATCGGTACATTCAGACAATGAAGGCCATCAGTTTAACTGGACAAGATAACCATAGTAGCCAAACATAGACATGCATGAGAATTCCTAGAGGCATGTTCTCCACCTGTAATGCAATCAAAAAACGTATAGAATTGGACCCCATATACAAACCCATACAGATCAAAACCAGAAATGACAGTACTCACCATAACGGACCGGACAGTATAAATTCCAAGCAGAGTAGAATAACATCACTTCATTGGGGGCTCCACTGATGATGTCACCTAGCATGGTGACAAAACATCTGAACAAAAACCAGCCAGCTCGGCGAGCAAGTCAACAACTTCACCCACAACCCAGGCTACAGATCTTTGCCAAAAATTTAAACCCTCACTTTCAGATTTGCTGAAATTGAGACTAGACTTGAAGCTACATGGAAATGTGGATCCCAATTTTTGCCTGTTGTTCACCAGGCTGCTTGTACCTAATGAAACACAGGATTCACCAGGAAGCATTCTGAGCAAATAGCACTGGCTGCCCACTGCTATCAACATTCCTATGAATGTGGTGACCAATTACAGAATCACAGAGTTGTTGCAGTGTAAACTAGACCATTCAGCCCGTCAGGTCAGCCCTGGTTGTCTGAGCATTCTGACTCAGAGCCAATCACCAGCCTTTTCTCTGTGACCAAGGATATTGTCTCTATTTAAATACTCATGCAATTGCCTCTTCAATGTCTCAACTGAACCTGCCTCCACCACATTTCCAGGCAGTGCATTCTAGATGCCAACAACTCACTGTGTGAAAACGTTCTTTCTCACCTCATGTTTGCTTCTTTTGCAAGTCATTTTAAAGCTCTGCCATCTTGTTCTTGATCATTTCACTTGTGGGAACAGTTTCTTCTTGTTCACTCTGCCCAGACCCCTCATGATTTTTAAAACTTCAATCAAATCTCACCACAGTCTTTCCCCATCTGACATGGGAACACCATCATTGCTAGTTCCCCTCCGCGTCACTCATTATTCTGACTTGGAAATATTTCGCTGTTCCTTCAGTGTCACAGCACACAGTGTGGGCACTGTCCATCCGTCGCACAGCGCACAGTGTGGGCACGGTCCGTCTGTCGCGTGGCGCACAGTGTGGGCACGGTCCGTCTGTCGCGTGGCGCACAGTGTGGGCACTGTCCGTCCGTCGCACAGCGTGGGCACGGTCTGTCTGTCGCGTGGTGCACAGTGTGGGCACGGTCCGTCTGTCGCATGGCGCACAGTGTGGGCACTGTCTGTCACGTGGTGCACAGTGTGGGCACTGTCTGTCGCGTGGTGCACAGTGTGGGCACTGTCTGTCTGTCGCATGGCGCACAGTGTGGGCACTGTCTGTCTGTCGCATGGCGCACAGTGTGGGCACTGTCTGTCCGTCGCATGGCGCACAGTGTGGGCACTGTCTGTCTGTCGTGTGGCGCACAGTGTGGGTACTGACAGTCATTTAAATATTCATATAAATAACAAGTATGCACTGGAAGATACTGGGTGGCTCTGTCACACAGCTTACAGAGTGGGCACAGTCTGTCTGTCACACAGTGTAGTTTGGGCACAGTATGTCGCCCAGTCAACAGACAAAGTCTGTTCGTGGAGTGGTACTGAATGCGCTATCTGGTAACAGCGCGTATTTGGAAAGCTGGTATATCTGTGAAGGATGTTTATTGCGTGAAGAGTTATTTCCAGGCAGGTGATGTATTGACTGAGGGAGCGCAGGGGTGAATGGAGAATAAGTCTAGGATTTCTCTTAGTCCTTAGTGGTCCCTTTATTTGACGAGGTGTGAGCTGATGTGCTCTGACTCTGGATGGGAACTAGGATGTCTTGCCATTATACAGACCATTGGTGAGGCCACTCCTGGAGTACTGTGAGCAGTTTTGGTCTTCTTGTCTGAGTAAGGATGTTCTTGTTAAAGAGGGAGTAAAGGTTTACCAAATTGATTCCTGGGATGGCAGGACTGATGTATGAGGAGAGATTGAATCAGTTAGGATTGTATTCACTGGAGTTTAGAAGAATGAGAGGGGATCTTGTAGAAACCTATAAAATTCTAATCGAACCCTAGACAGGTTGGATGCAGGAAGGATGATCCCAAATGGCGGGAGAGTCCAGAACCAGGCACCATTGTTTACAGATAAGTGGTAAACCATTTAGGACTGAGTTCAGAAGACATTTCTTCACACAGAGAGTGGTGAGCCTGTGGAATTCACAACCACAGAAAGCAGCTGAGGCCAAAACATTATGTTTCCAAGAAGTAAGTTGATGTAACTCTTGTGGCTAAAGGGATAAAAGGGGAGGGTGGGATTAGGGTACTGAGCTTTATGATCAGCCATGATCAGTCATCAGTCCCAACGGCACAGCCTCAGAATGAAGGGATGACCCAGGAATGGAGGGTTTGAGTTATAAGGAGAGGGTGGATAGACTGTAACTTTTTTCACTAGAGTATAAGAGGTTGAAGGGTGACCTTATAGAGGTTTATAAAATTATGAGGGGCATGGATAGGGTAAATAGCCAAGATCTTCTCCCTAGGGTAGGGGAGTTCAAAATGAGAGGGCATTTTTTAAGGTGAGAGGAGAAAGATTTAAAAAGGGGCCTGAGGGGCAACTTTTTCACACAGAGGGTGGTTCATATGTGGAATGAACTGCCAGAGGAAGTGGTGGATGCAGGTACAGTTACAACATTTAGAAGATATTTGGACAGGTACATGAATAGAAAAGATTTAGAGGGATACATGCCAAACGCAGGCAAGTGGGATTAGTTCAGTTTGGGAAACTTGGTCAGTGCGGGTGAGTTGGACTGACGGGTCTGTTTCTGTGCTGTATGACTCTATGATTGAGATGAGGAGGAATTTCTTCAGCTAGAAGGTGGTAAATCTGCAGAACTCATTGCAGCAGAGGGCTGTGGAGGCCAAGTCATTCAGCATATTTAAGACTGAGTTAGATTGGTAAGGGAGTCAAGGGTTACAAGGAGAAGGCAAGAGAATGTGGTTGAGAAACATATCAGCCATGATCGAATGGCCTGATTTTGTTCCTGTATCTTTGGTCCCAGATGATGACCATAAATGTGAATTTGGGAGTTTACATTTGGAATAGTTTAAACATGGAGGTGCAATCTACCTTAATTCAGAATCAGATGAGGCTAATTCAGCCTTCTCTGTATGTGTTAGGACATGGGCCTAAAGGGCATACTGCACAGCATATTTCTGTTTACCCCCGATATCACTGCCCTGTGTACAGTACAGATCAGGAATACATTCCCCCTTTACCCCTGAGAGAAGACAGAATATAATGTGGAAAAGTGTGAGGTTTTGTACTATGACAGGAAGAATAGAAGAGCTGAATATTATTGAAATGGAGAGAGACTGCAGAAAACAGAGGGATTTGGAAGTCCTTGTGCATCAATCACAAAAAGATAGCACCTAGGTCAGTAGGTAAAAGGGAAGGCAAATCGGACATGGCTTTTATTTCAAAGAGAATGGAATTTCAAAAAAAGGGAGGTTTTCTAGAACAATACAAGGCTATTGCAAGACAACAGCTGGAAAACTGTGAATGTGGTCCCCTTATCTAAGGAAAGGTATACTGGCATTTGATACAGTCCAAAGAAAGTCGAGCATAGGAATGGAAGAATTTTCCTTTGAGGAGAGGCTGAGTAGGTTGGGCCTGTGAGCATTGGAATTTAGAAGAATGAGAGGCGATCTTACTGAAACTTACAAGATTCTTGGGGAGCTTGGCAGGGGAGATGCAGAAAGATAATTTTCCCTTTTGTGGGATGGTCTTGGGCCAGAGGGAATAATCTCAAAGTAAGGGGTCTCCTATTTAAGACAGAGATTAGGAGAAATTTCTTCTCTCAGAGGCTAGTGCATTCTTTACCATTCAGGGCTGACGAGGCTATGTAATTATGTATCTTCAAGGCTGAGATATTGACTCCAAGGTTCAAGAAGGCCACTCACCACCACTTTCTCAAGGGCAACTAAGAATGGATAATAAATGCTGGCCAGCCAACGATGCCCACATCCCATGAATAAATTTTAAAAAAAAGACATTTTTAATCAGTATGGGAATCAAAGGGTAATGGGAAAAAGGCAAGAAAGTGGAGATGAGGAGTATCAGATTAACCACGATCCATTCGAATGGCAGAGCAGACTTGATAGGATGAATGGACTACTCATGCTCCTATGTTTTATGATAATACTGCTCCATGTACAGTACAGGATCAGAGTTGTTGGTTGGTTCACCGAGCTGGGTATGGAGTCTTTCGTCTTGGAGATGTAAAAAGACCATCAAAGATGAAAGACCCCATATCCACAATGAGCAGGACAAATGTGATACACAAAATACCATGCAGCAACTGTGAGAAACACTACATGGGATAGACGGGTAGGAAACTCACCACTAGGATACATGAATACCAACTCGCAGCAAAATGGCACGACCAACTCTCACTCGTTTCAATACGCTCTGACATAGAAGGACATCAGTTTAACTGGGACAATGTTAAAGTAGTAGGACAAGCACAAGAATTACTGGCGGCCTGGTTTTCTACCACCAGTGTGATAAACAAACATGTTGAAATAGACCCCATCTACATACCATTACGGTACAAAACCGGAAACAAGACTGCCTACTGTGACAGACCAGACCATATAAATTCAGAGCAGGACAGAACAACAGCGCTTTAACAGAGAATAGACAGCACTGAAGAAGATGTCATCTAGAACGGCAAACCAACCAATGACTCTAACCACAACCCAAGCTCCAGATCTTCGTTAAAACATCAGACAGGATCGGTATATTCCCCCCTTACCGCCAATGATACTGCCCTGTGTACAGTACAGGATCAGGAGTACATTCCCCCTTTAGTCCTAATAACACTGCCCCTTTCACAATATTGAGGTAATTTGTCCGAATTACTGATGCAGGTTATAATGGTGTTTTTGCAGACTCTAACAGCACAGTGTGAAGCAGCTGTTAAGGGAAGAAACTATTTCAATTGAATAGTAGCACTTGAACATGGGACTGGTCTGTCCTCTGAGGCTGAAATCCAACCTGGATCTCACTGTGCTGATGAGGTAGACTGAGACAAAACTAACATGAGAAACATTGCTATAGCAACGACACAATCATCATGGCAGCAGCATTAAGAGCTGTGCTATAGTCTCACGTGTAGTACCAGCTCCTCGCGATAACTGCACTGCAGCAGTGAGCCTCTGACATCCATTCACACTGACAGGCTGCCCCTAAGAAATTGCTGCCCACAAGACCAGACTTGGTACACTGCTGAATGGCTGCATTATCAAGCAGACCCATTGGACAGAAATGCAAAGTTGAGACAATGTTAGGAATGTTTCATACAATCACAGAGCCAAGCAGGAGTCCAGTCAGCCCATCATGTCTGTATTGGCTCTTTGGGTAATCCAATAACTCCCACTCTCTCACTTTGCCCCAGTAGTTTTGCAAATGTCCACATTTCAAACTTGTTCAATGAAATTTACTATTGACTCTGCTTTCACCACTA